TGTGTACTGGGGAGCCCAGACCTGGACACAGTGCCCAAGGTGTTGCTGTAGTAGTGCTGAGTAGAGGGGCAGGATCACCTCCATTGGCTGCTAGCAATGCTTCTAATGCAGCCCAGGCTATCATTAGCCTGCTTTGCTGCCAGGACATATTGCAGGTTAGTGTTGAACTTCATATCCACCAGGATCTCCTGGGCCTTCTTTGCAAAGCTGCTTTACAGCTAGCCAGCCCCCAGCACCTGCTGGTGCCTGGGAGTAGTTCTTCCCAGGGGCAAGGCTTTGTACTGGCTCTTGTTGAACTGCATGAGATTCCCATCAGCCCATTTCTCCAGCCTGTAGAGATCCCTCTGGATGGCAGCATGACTGTGGTGTGTCAGTCACTCCTTCCTGTTTTGCATCATCTGCAGAATTGCTGAGGGTCCACTTTGCCGCATCATCCAGATCGTTAATGAAGATACTGAGGAGGACTGCACCCAATATTGACCCATGAGGTACACTGCTAGATGCTAGTCTCCAGCTAGATTTCATGGCGCTGATCCCCACCTTCTGGCCCTGGCCATCTAGCCACTTTTCAGTCCACTTTGCTGTCTGTTCACCCAGTCTATACTTCAGCTTCACCATGAAGATTGTACAGGAGATGATGTCAAAAGACAATATCCACTACTCTCCTCTCGTCTGTGAAGCCAGTTGTTTCATTGTAGAAGGCTTTTCAGGGTGGTCAGGCACGAGTTCCTCTTTGTGAATCTGTGCTCACTCCTCCTGGTCACCTTCTGGTCCTTCACGTGTCTGGAGGAAGCAGTTTCCATATTTGTTCCATCACCTTCCCAGGGGTCGAGGTGATCATTCGAAGATTATCAGGAGCCCTGAAATTTCATGAATGGATAATTACTGTGGGTAGAGCACAAGCCGAGCAAGTGCAGCCCAAAGCGGCATCCCTGTTGAAGTTTTGAAATTAAATGACACAAATCTCCTTCTGATAAAATCTGGATGTAACTGAGTCTCTTGTAAAGAAAGATAGCCTCTTTAATTTGAAAACCTCCTGTTTCTAGGATATAAACTCAGTAGAAATCCTCTCATGAAATGCCATTATAGGATGTTTGTTGTCTGCTTGGCTAATGTGTCTTTAGAGCACAGTGTATGCCACCAAGGAAATGCATGGAATAGTTTCTGGGCTCGTGTACAGGGTGTGCTGTGCTTTGAGCGGGATTGTGGTTGCACGTTTCTTCTGATACAGGAGTGTGTATGTAATGTACATGTGTATGTGTAGGTTTATTTTTTTAAAATATATATATTCGTATATGTATTTATATCTTGTCTTTCTCAAAAAGCCACTATATTAGTCTTTCTCAGCCTTTGTGCTTTTTCTAAAGGAAGAAACATAACTTGCCCTTTACATCAGGTGCAGCTATGCTGGGAAGATTGTTGGGATCCTTCTAGTGCCATTTATGATGCTGTGTGTATATTTAAGTCACATACTGGTTGTACAGCTGTAATGCTCTTTGCTACTTACACGTTCTTTCCAAGCATGCATACTCAGCCCACATCACATACACCGTTGGAGTTATAGCCAGTAATTTTAGTGTCCTTTAAGTTTAGCTAAAACTTTGAAAAATATCATCTTATGCTAATAAAAACTCTGCAGCTCTTGGACCATGTTTACAAAGTTATTTTTAATTGTGAAGAAAAGGAGAACTATTTCTTGCATCTTTCTCTGACAGATACAGCACATGTCACTTGGATTCTGTGTTCATATTACTTATACAGCCAGCCTTGGGTGAACATAATGGAAGGACAGGCAGCAGTCTAGAATGACAGGAATTCAAGAAGACAGTGAAAATTAAAGGTTTGGATTTCTGACAGGCATCTTCTGAATCTTGCTGAAGTAATGTAAGATGTTATTGCCTCTGAAAGAGATGGTAACCAACTCTTACCAACTGTTACTGTGCTCTAACTAGAGACTGCCATTTCCCTAGTAGGATAGCAGAACACTTGTCATAGAGTCATAGAACAACCCAGGTTGGAAGGGATCTTGGAAGATCATCCTGTCCAACCTTTCCTGCGAAAGGAAACCTAGATGAGGCTATCTAGTGCCCTGTCCGATCACATCCTGAAAACCTCCAGTGATGACAGCTCTGCCACGTCCCCTGGAGAAGTTGTTCTAATGATTGCTTGTTCTCAAACAATCTCTGTGTAGTGACTTCATAGTACGTACCTGCGCCTTCACTGGTAAATAAAGTGCTCTACTGGAGTGTGAACAGGGGTGGTGGAAAGATGGGCTGGAGTTCCCTTCTGCTGCTCTGATGATGGCAAGAGGCTGGGTCAAACAGCTATGAGCAGTGGTGTCTGAAACGGTGATGTGCAGGTGCCAGGAGGACCCGCAGAACCCTCTTTTCAGAACCTTAAGGTTGCAATTTTTTCTTCTCATTTCAGACAACAAAACCATAGCCCATGTGTTATCCTTAGTTTAAAAAGAATAAAGGAAAAAAAACTCCAAACCACTTCCACTATTCTGCTATGTTTTAATTTTACACGTAGTTTCATGGTATTTATCTTTTTGCTACCAATATAGCGTATCAAGAAACAGTTGGTATTGAACGTCACCTTGGTTTTACAATAGAGACGGTTATTATACTTCCAAATAGATAAGATTTTTCTTCAAAGGTCATGTAATCATCACAGAATCATAGAACAGTTTTGATTGGAAGGGACATTTAAAGGTCATCTAGTCCAACACTGCTGCAGTGAGTTTGATCAACTAGATCAGGATGCTGAGAACCCCCTCCAACCTAACCTTGAACGTTTCCAGGGATGAAGCATCTACCAATTCTTTGGGCAACCTGTTCCGGTGTTTCACCATCCTTATAATAAAAAATTTCTTCCTCATATTTAGTCTGATATTAAAGTGTCTATTCTTTTATGCTGTTGTACAAATATTTTAATTATTTAATTAATTTAATTCTATTTTAAATGAAAGAATAACAGATTGATGCAAAATTTCTGTTCACTCATTTTACCAGTATGCTAAAAATTGTAGAAAGCTATCTGTGTAATTTTATGCATCTTGGTTTTAACTGAGTTGCTGAAAGTGTAGTGTTGCATTTCTGCAGAGTAAAACTGGCTTATAACTTTATTGGCATTAGTTTTGGAATCTGACGTTCTTATATGACTTCCCTTGTTCTTACCTTTATTGTGTAGTGTTTGAATTTCATTCTGCTATTTATTATTACACAGTCAGTTGCTTATTTTGCAACAAATTCTCTCTATAAAATAAATATCCTGTGTTTTGGGATTATTTTTCTTTTTGATGTGAGAGTTGTAACTAGAGTTATCATCTGTAACTTACCAGTAGATAGTAGTAATCCTCTGTTTGGAAAAACACGGGAAATGATCTCAGTAGTTTGTTTAAGTGTGCGTGTGCATATGCGTAACGTTTACCTGTATAAACTCATTTTAGGAATATCTTAGAATACTTGTATTGGTGGATGCTCCAAGTGTGATACTGACATTTTTAATAGTGTGCTCAATTAACTGTATTTAAACTTATAAAAAAATAAAGTCCTCTGTTATAAATCACTTGATACAGACAGGATCATTGTTGTTGGAAGAATTTGCCAAAACTAATGGGTGGCTAAATTTCTTAGTATCTAGATTAGCTTGTGCAAAGATGACATCTTATTTATTACTACCTCAAGACATCGGATTTTATGGCTTTATTTATTTCTGTTCTGTTACTTAGTCTAATAAGTTATGGAAAGTTGAAGTTGAAATCTTTGTGAGTTCCCAGCACTGGTTTTTGTAAATTAACAGAAGCGTTTTTTCACTATGGGAAAGCAGAATGTAAGCGTGTATTTAACATTGAACATATGCTGAAATACTTTGCTATTTTAGGTCTTGGTTGTTTGCTTATTACCCCCCCTTTCTTTTTTTCTTTTTGTCTTTGAATGCTATTAATGTATTGAATGATGAGAAGAACTTGTGTTTTCCTTTCCAAATGGTTGCTGTTCAAAAGGAGGTGCAGAGGAAAAAAAAAAAGAAAAAGAAAAAGGCTAACTGGGACCCCAACAAGTTGAGAGCTCTTAACATGCTTTTTCTTGAGTGTTCTTTCTTGTCCATATGGTAGGATGGAAAACATGTTTAATGTATGGTAATTAAGGAAGTCAGATGGAAAAAATTAAATCTAAAGGTACTTGTTACTTACTTAGTGTTTACTAAACAAAGCAGCAAAGCTGTCGTTCATCATTTTAAGATTAATTGCAAGTCAGTGCAGTAATAACGTAATAATTGTATTTCTGCACATAGCTTTAAATCAGTGATAAAACAGGGCTGAATTTAGACAACAGATTTATATTAGTACCTTATTAAAATTAGTTTTAATTAATCATAAGAAAGTAATATATGTTCAGTCTATTATCTCCATTTTTTCTATCTAAAAAAATGCTGTCATATAGTTCCTACCATAAATTTTAGACTAATCAGAAGTAACCTCTGAATTCTTCAAGAAAATCCTAGCTTCTGCTTTGCTTTTGATGATCACTAACTGGAGAAGAAAACGTTTGGAAAGATCACAGTTTTATACAGAAAATATTGTTGTTATTATTTAACAAGGAAAGTGGTAAAAGAAAGGTACCACAAGGCAGCTGGGGAATTTTTTGTTTAAAAAAAAAGCACTCAACACAAACAAGATAATGGTGTACAGAGCATCTACCACTGTATTTAGTTTGTAGTTGTCAAACTGCTGTAAACTGGACTCATGTTGTTGGAGAACAGACTTGTTTATAATGATAATGGAATTAACAGAATCACATAAAAATAAAGAATATGAGAAAGGAAATAGTTTTACCTAATTTCTCCTGTCCCCTTTTGAAATTTTTACTACATGTTGACTGTGTAATTGTATTTCTGTAGCAGGTGGAGTATTGCAGTTACAAGGACATAACCAGCAGCTCTTCTAGTACTAGCGTAAAAACAACTATTTACAAATCTTGAACCCTTTTTTCTTTAAGGACCACTACACCGGGAGAGACTAAACTTCTAGCGTCTGAAGTCTACGATATCCTTCAGTCTTCCAATGTGTCAGACACGGACAACGTGAATGAGATGAATTATCGTCGACGGAAAGCGCAGTTTTTCCTCGGCAGCACAAATAAGCGTGCCAAGACAGTGGTTTTGCATATAGATGGTCTTGATGATTCGGTAAGGAAACCTTCGGTGTTTATGTAGATAAGGCGTGCTGTACTGAGGTATATTTTGCCCACAAAAATAATATATCCAGGCTGCTTGTGTGGCATCGTCAACTGTCAGCAATTTCTGTGAACCATATTTCAAATTGCAGTATATAAAAAATATATATATATGTATAAATTGAGCCTACTCAGAGTATCTGAAGAAGTTGTTTAAAGCATTTTCCTTGCTGGCTTTTTAATTGCTCTTTCTTTCCACCTCTCCTAATTTTCCTTCCTTCATCAAGAAAAAATGGAATAAACAAGATACCTTCAGCAATTTCACTGAAGGATATCTTGTGGTTGTATCAGTGTGTTAAACTTAAAAAAAAAAGTTTCCTTTTGGTTATGAGATATTTCAGACTTTTTTTTTTAATTAGTCTTAACTTAGAAAATGCTATGTTTTCTTTGAGCTGATTTTGCTACATCTTTTCATTGTCTGTGAGATCTTTTCTACTGTAGTGACCAGAATGGCATTTGAGTTAATGAGGTCTCACTGAGTCTTTATGTAATGTCAGAATAACTTCTACAGATTTATCTACCATACCCCTGTAGATAACACCCCAGGGCCATGTTTGCCTTTTTACGGCTGCCAAGCAGCATGTAGACTGTTTAAGCATGTTATCCACAAGTGCCCTCCGGACTCTGTATCTTCAGTTTTGTACCCATTTTAAATGATCAGACCTGATCCTTTGCTTTGTTGCTTTGCATTTTGCCAAGTAAGCGTGTCCACAGGCCCAGTTTATCAACAGCGTACCCGTCGTACTGTTTTCATAAGACCATAGTTAATTCCTTTAGAAATAACATGCTGCTGTAGCTCACTTTGTACAAAGTAAATATTTTTTACAGTTTTGTCCTTCCAGCACTTGCTCCGTCTAGAAAGGCAGTGCTTTGTCAACACCATTGGCTTTTGTACTCTGGATTTTTTTTTCAATTCGGTCCAGTCAGTTGTCTCCTGTTAAGTTTGTTTTGGTTTTAAGCTTGTGGTTGATTTGTTTGTTCACAGGTATCTCCAAGCAAGAAATTTCATCCGCTTCTGCTTTTTGAGTTGAGATATTCTGGCTTTAGTCTGATTCTGTCTTAGAAGTGTTTGTGTTCTTCAAAAAATGGAAATTAGTGAGATTTGTGGAGCTTCTTTCTGAAACATCGAGGCAAACGTATTCTGAAAAAGTGTAGGATATTTAGATATTCAGCTCCAGAGAGCAAAATTGCAGGCTTCTGTAGTTGCCTAGAGCACACCAGCATGTTTTCTTAGCATGTTGTTGAAGAAAAGTAAAATCTGACTGTGCACTGGCTGGAGATGGCTGGTGTATGTAGCTCTGTAGCTCTTCAGGTGATTAAAGAAATGTTAGTGATACTGTAGGTGCTCACCCAGCAGTTAAACATCCCTGTAATGCTGTGTTAAATGTCACGATAAACTGGGACAAGGAAGATGATGGAGGATGTAAACAGTAAAAGCAACTTAGTTTCATTCAACAGTTTATTCCTGACTTAATTAGCAAAGAGTATTGGGTGGCACATAGAGTGTTAAAAGGCACAGTATGTAAACACAGGGCTGTAAACGCTGTGTTCTCGGTTTACCTCTTGTTAGGAGTGATTGCAAATTCTACAAATGTTTGTGGATTTTGAAACCTCAAATAGTAGATATTGATTGTTTCAGGAAGGAAGGGGAAAGGTCATATGCTGTTTAATGTGGGGTCAGATATTTTTATTTTAAGACATAATTACCAAACTTGGTTATAAGCGTGAAAAAAAAAACCAAAACGAAAAAAATGAATCAGTACTTGAAGTGTCTGTGGCCTCCCCATCAGTAGTTTTCTAGTCTGTCCATTTTAGAAGTATTTGTTAGGGTATGGTAGTCAGGGTTTGGCGTGCAAGAGAATAACCTAAATTTCACCTGCCCTACCCTGTATGTGTCCTGCCATGTGCCCATGCTTTGGGAGTACCATGCAGAAAGATGTCTAGCTGGGTACTGCTGGTGGTTGTGCCTAACTGCTGTAGGCAGACAGACTGTGTAAAGGAGAGGCTGCCAAGCTTCCAGTTTGTCAGGAGTCTGTATGGACCCTGTTTTGCCTTTAGGAAGCGATTCACCAGTTATCACTGAAGCCTTATTTTGAATTCAACTGATGTGCCTGGGATTTAACCTGGGATTAATTCTCTCAAAGAATTGCTATATATCCATGTAAGCCTAAATTATTTGTTTAGGCTAATAAGATACGAATGTGTTGCTTCTTGTGTCCAGAAGTAGTTTCGGCTTTCACTCATGCAAGGCAACCTGTCATCTTTGCGTCAGATATTTCCTGCATATAGAAAAGGTAGCCTACCCGGCAAAGTTATTTTTGTAAATCTCAGAAATGTTAAGTATTTCAAGATAAAAACTTACATGAATTAATTGTTTCAATATATATGATAAAACACTAAAAACCTCCCTATGCTTCAGTTGTTTTTTCCAGAGATTAAAATTATTTAATTTACTTATTGTGCATGAAACTATCCCAAATATTCACCAGTGATTATTTGATAACTAACATAAATATGCTTTGAAATAACATCATTATTTTGAACCTGTGTAAAGCTGTCAGTTTACTTCCGGTACAGCACGTCTTTTTGTTTTTCCCCTTCTGTGTTAGCAGTCTCTCTTTTTTGTTACATTCATCTTGTGCAAATATTAATAAGAAGAAAAAGTAGAACATTGTAAGATAATGTAGAACAGCTGCAACTAGTACAAGTCAATGTAATGTTACAGCACAGTAGGCGATGTCACTTGCTTTAAACATAGCATTCTGTGGGTTATCAACCAAATATTTTCTCTTTGAGATAAGAATTAGGCTTATGCTGCACAGTGATTTCTGTGAGCTGCCACAGATGAAGCTGCTGAAAGATACAACAGCTGCTTTGATGCATTCCGTCAGTATGGAGGCAAGGTGTCTGATAAATAGCAACTTAAACACTAACTACTCATCAATGAGCACTTCAGTCAATCAGAACTTAACCAGAGGGGACTGTTTAGCTGATCATACGGAGAAAAACATTCTTTGCTTTTCAGCACTTTTCTCTAATTATTTACAGTTGATTCCATCCTTCTTTGACTTCTAAAGGGTAAGCAATTTTTTTTTCATGGTAAGAGAGTCTAATCTTTGTGCACTAAAATATAAGTCGTAGTTTTTATTTTACAAAAACACAGTTGAGTAACCGCCTGCCCTCAGACCTACAGGAATTCCTTAAGAGTTAATTGTGAGTTTGTTCACATGGTGTGTTATGGAAGTACTTTAGTTGTGGGATTTTTGGTTGTTTTTCAGTCTCGAAGAAATCTTTGTGAAGAAGCCTTGTTGAAAATTAAAGGTGTTATTAGTTTTACTTTTCAAATGGCTGTTCAAAGGTGCGTGGTCCGAATTCGCTCGGACTTAAAAGCAGAGGTAAGTGCTCTATAACCCTCCAGATCCTCACATTATGACGTTCTGTCACACTAAGCTCTTGGTTTCTCCCTTGAATATAGGCGTTAGCAACAGCAATAGCATCGACGAAAGTTATGAAGGCACAGCAAGTTGTGAAAAGTGAGAGTGGTGAGGAGGTAGGATGTGTATCTTTCTAAATATCAGTTGTTTTAGCTCAGCTGTATCTTTATGACTGTATCTTTAACCTCTGTGCCTGTGACATCTCATGCCAGGCAAAATTGTGTAAGTGGGAGTGCTACACGTGCGGTACGAGATGATGAAAAGGCACCTGATGTCGGGACATGTATAGATAGAACAGTTTTGCAGACCTTGTTGTTCAGGAGGAGGACAGAAATGCTGTGATTGTTTCTCTCCTTGGCAATATGAAAAGGATTACAGTGAACCTTCTTTTCTGGGGCTGTAGTTGAAGTATTCTTATTTCACAACTACAGTAAAAGGGCTTTGTCTTTATTTGATAGGTTTTCTTCCACATGAAGCCAAAGCTTTTCTTGCGTGTCTTCTAAGCGTAGTAGATCCCAGATATATAGTAGGTTCCATTTATATTCTCATTGTATAGGGGGGTGGGGAGGAGTCTCACAACATGCGTGCTTGTCATCCTGAATATCTATTTATGTGTGACTTTCATTCTTGTAAGTTACAACATAGGACGTAATTTTAATCTGTTGTGTTTTTTCTTTAATCAGATGCTAGTTCCGTTCCAAGATACTCCAGTAGAAGTAGAGCAGAACACAGATCTACCTGAATATTTACCAGAAGATGAAAGCCCTACTAAGGAACAGGACAAAGCAGTGTCTCGTGTTGGGTCACACCCAGAAGGTGCAGCAAGCTGGCTCAGCACAGCAGCAAACTTTCTATCGAGATCTTTCTACTGGTGACTTGTATTTGGTGTTGAAAGACTGTGTGAATGAACCAACAGGGGGGCCAGTTTTCCATTGGTGTGGTGAACTGCCAAGTGCAATTTGCAATAAATCATCACAGAAATTTTAGATAAGCAAATGTATGCTGCATTTTACATTTTATTGGATGTTTAGCCTGATAGGGCAGGGGTCAAAGGACAGAGGCCTCCAATCAATTTGTTCTTTCATTTATTTTTCATGTAGATTTTACTGCTTTACTTTTTAAAAATGGGTCCACTCTTATATACCAAATGTTTATGCATATAGAGCTTTGAGTTTGACTTCAATGACACACATGATAGGGAGAATCCGTTTAAACTCTCAGGGCCTCTGTGAAAGAAAATTCTTAATAGCTCTAGCTGTGCATTAAATGAAATGCCCTTTTTTATTTCTGCATCCTCTTGGACTAACACTGTTTTGTTTAATTTTCTAGATTTTTACTCCAGAGAAAAATATAGTCTGCCTCTTTTTTTGCCTTTATTTTTGCCAACCATGTTCACAGCGTGAGCGCGACGTTCCCCTTTTGCTATTAAACTAGAATCACTACAGACTTGAAATTTATAACCCTTTTATATATATGGATTTTTTCCAGCCTGCCCTTAACCGTTGGAGTGCTTGAGATTAAGAAATAAGGAATCGAGTAAACACAAGTATGTATACATACATTGTACAGTAAATAAACTAGAACATATTTGTAATGATGGGTGTGACTGACTGATATATATATACATATAACTAATAAATACCACTGCTATTTAGGCTAGCTGGGAAGACTGTAGCCAAAAAAAAAGCTGTGGTCTAATGTAGTGATGACCCCTTGCAGCTCTGTCAGCAGAGAGTAGAGGGATGTAGACTGTATTTAGTTAAGAAATGGTGTTCACTGTTAGCAAATATTTAATGGTAACTGAAACTTTAAACTTGAAGAATGAATGCCTCCTTTTGCCACAGTGCCACACTTACAAATTTTGACTTTACCCCTTGTTATTTTTTTACCTAACAAATCTGATACGTAATTACTGTTCCCTCCCAGTGTCTTTCATGAGACTCCCCTGAAAGTACATCAGCTTAGATAGGCTTAAAAAAATATGCAATTGGCTTTACTTTGTTACTTACAGACAGCATAGATTTAAAGATGTCTTGGTAAATTCTGTGGCCAGAAGTGATAGTAAAGGCGAAACTTGATAGAGAATAGTATGTATCTGAGCTGTTAGTAAACACTGTGTGCCTGAGAGGATTCCATACACAGTGCTTGAAGACTGCAGTGCCACTGCTTTATTGCACTGGAGAAGTACAGCTGAGAACTTTAAATACTGTTATAAACCTCATTATACAATGCTTTTTTGTGGTAATGTATTTGCGGTAATATTAATTATGTTTACCACTTGGAGACTCAGAAAAAAAAAATCTAATGCATCAAAGTTATTCCCCTCTGCCTATGCACAAGGAATAAAAAAAATAAATCACACTGTCATAATACTGCAGACATGCTGAGGAAATAGTAATGTAAAATAATAATACAGGTCAGAGTTCACCCACTCAAGTTAATTGTCGTTCTAGGATAAAAAAGAAACAAAAGCTTGTTGGCAAGATGTCTCATGTTTTTTAATATATCTAGTTTATTTTTGATTCAGGTTTACACGCACAGATTGAAAATACAGGCTTTTCAGGGCATGTATTGCTTTAAATATGTAATACTACTCATATTGCTGTCTAGAATGTTACAGTACCAAATGTGTTTGAAAAGTCCTCTGGTTCTATAGCCATGAATGCAGAGTTTTATTTTTCTGCATTAACATCTGTTTGCATTTGCATTACTGCACATCTATTTACTAAAAGACTACACCCTTTGGATATTAATGGTTCAATACCAGTAGGTATTACAGTTTGTTTGTGCATTCAGTCTGTAGGTGTGCTTTTATGACAGTATTGCAGCTCTTGTAGAACAGTTTAAGGCATCTGTAAAAGTTTTTGAAATATATTGTAAAATAATAAAGGATAATATAACTAAAAAAAATATGACTGGTGCCTTTTTAAATGTCCGAACAAAGGCTGGTGCCTTTTTAAATGTTCTGACAGCCTTTAAGGTATTTGTGGTATTAAAAGTATATCTTTTTAATCTTTAATTTGAGAGGAATGCAAGTCATAGTGAGACCTTTGCTGCTTATTGCAACGGGGCTTTTGTGTATGTTTAGAACTTGCTTGCATTTTAAACAAAGTTTTTGTAAAAAGTAGGTAAGTAGAAGCTACTTAAGGACATCATCTCAAATTCATTCTTCTGGGTTGTTTTTGGACACTAGTTTTCTTTAATAACCTGCTATGTAGGTCCTGTTTTTTTAAGGAAATTCAGAAGAACCAATGTTCCGGGAGAAACATATTATTTTGAAAAAATAATACGTTTTATTATGAAATGTATTATTTTGAAAAAAACTAAAGACACAGCATACAGTAAGTAATTTTACATTAGTACTTTTTCAGAGGCCAGATTAAGGATAAGAAAGCCCTTATTGCTCTGACCTAAAGAAATGACCAAAAAAAAAATTACTGCAAAATTAGAAGCTTCTAAAAAAAAGCTGAACTGGGAGACAGAGCACTGCTGTTGTGTCGCACTACTTGCAAAGTGTTTGATTGCCAAGAGAGCCACTGCACACATCATGGTTTAAGCTCTTGAATTGTCCTAAGGTTATTGCTGTGTACAGCATAATAGAATAATCGCTACCATGTTTCTTCATAATAAGAGTAAATGCTGATGGGATTGGTAGAGGCAAAATTGAGGCTTGTAACTGTGCCTCTGCAAACAGCTGTCAAAGCACTGTAAGCATTCTGCAGTATTGTGAAATGCAATATACTCCAGCTTTCCCCCTCCACAATCACCTATGGCTTCTTCTGTACAAAAATAGCTGATGTTGCCGAGTTTTGCCATAGGCCGTGTGAGCTGATGGGGAGAGTACTGTGTGGGGCTAATTCAGAGGAAAACATGGAATACCTAGGCAGATGCAAACTGGCAGGTGTGAAGTACTCCTGTAACTGCCTGTAATGTAAAATAAAACGTGGGTGCTCCTTTGTGCCTCTGTACAGCGCTCCAGCTGTCAACTGGTGGAGTTTAAAAACATACCTAATAAAAAGCAGCAGCAGCATTCCTTTATTCATTTTGCGGGAGGCTGGGCCATGTAGTCTCCCCTGTTTCTTCATGTGTACCGAACTGAGTTCCTAAAATGGGAACAAATTATTCATTAAGGATTGAAAATAAATTAAGATACAGATGAGAATAACCTCTCAGCCCATCTTAGATTCTGACTGTAATTCTCCAGGAACAGTTGAGAGCACATTACTTGGCGAAAGGGGGTGAGTGGTGGGGTCACTGGAGACTTCTTCACTGGAGACTTCTCCAGTGAAGTATAGCATCTAATTAGCCCCAGGGGTGAGACTGGCTGCTAAGATTCCTACTCTAAAGGTTAATATAAAGCTGTTAGAAAAAGAAATTGTCCTATTTCTTGTGGTGTATAAGGAGCAGGCAATGCTCTGCTTGTTTAGCCTGCTTTACAAGCAGGTTTTGAATAGGGGTGAAAAAAACTGATTTAAATTTGCAGTACTTTGCATGTAGACTGGTTAAAGCATGGAAGGTGAAGTCTGCCTCTGTAAGATGAGGTAGAATTTACAAAATTTAAAAATTTCTTTGTGTTACTGTTCATTTGTGGACTTGTTGCACTAGGCTTGTTAGTGACTGGAATAAATTAAGATCAATTAAAGCAGTTAAAGTTGTCTGGATATTCAGAAACATCTGAGAGAAGATGCATGCTCTTACCATATTTTTGTGCCAGTTGTCATGGTAGAAGTTGTTTATTATGTTAGTATCTGCAAGATGCTATCTGGATTAAATTGCCGGCAGCTCGATCTCTTCATGGCAGGAAGACTTCACAGAGCTTGGAACTTAAATAATCTCCAGCAGCATTTATTAGTTTCCTGGTGCCTACAGTTCAGGTCAGCTACTCGGACCAGTGTTTCCAAAGAGCTGAATCAAATCACAACTGAAAACAAACTTCTTAGGTAAAAAGCATTCCTGTGCCAGCAGTGTATGGCAGTGTGTCTGACTGGCATGAAAAGGGTCTTTGAAGCAGCAGATAGAGAAAACAGAATACCACAAAGCCACCGCGTGACGGGATTGTTGCTTTCATTGTCTGCGGGACCACTGAGTTAAGTGTAAATACCAAAGATAGTGGAGAACTGCTGGTTTGAAGTAACGCTTTACTGTTTCATACCTCTTCTTCTTGAGGTCCTTCAAGATTGTGAGCGTGCTCTTCCACCGGAGCAGGGAATTGCTGTGTCAGCTTCTCCATGAGCACTGTCCCCTCTGGGTGCATGGAGGAGTTACAGGGGAGGGCGAGCCTCCACGTGCACAGGTGGCGAGCTCGCAGGGAGCAGCCAGCACTCTGTTCATGCCTAACATCCCACAGAAACGCGAGCATCCGTAACAGGAGGTCTTTACTAAAGGTGTTTTTCCACTAGCCTCATTTTACAGACTGTGCAGCTGAGTCTGTTTACCCGAATCGCTCAGGAATCCTGGGAAGTGTAAACTGTTATGAGCTGCCTCTGATTCTTAGTTTGTGCTTTGTGACAAAAAATAAGCTGAAATGCCCTCTGTTTTAAGAGACGCCTTTGCACTGTCTGAACTCCTCTGGCCCGCACTGGAAAAGTCAAACCTGTCATAAGCAACTTTCCTCACTGAGTTATATGTAGGATTGCGTCATGAGCGTAGTTGAAAGCCAATTTTCTTCTTAAAGTAGTCCCTACTGATTTGTTGAAGTTCTAAGTAAGGAAGAACTTTTACTAACAAATGCCCTTTCTAGTTGGTTTCCCACAAAAAAATTTAGCTGTCTCTGCTTGTATTGTGGTATTCTTTAGAAAGCTTTGTGCACCGCAGTTTATTTCAGCAGAGCTACCTGTGTAAAGCGCCCAAAGCATCTGCCAGCTTCATGCAAGTTAAAGCATCACCCAACAGTGATGCTTAAGCCCTTTCCAGCAGTTAATGCCCTTAGTGGTTTTTGATCCCTAGTTACTTCCCCAAGAAGGCGTGATCGCTTTTGTAGATTCCCCAAATGTACACCATTATGTAGTTGATATGAACTTGATATTTCATTATAATTACTTTTCAAGAGCTTGTTCTAGCTAAATTTCCCTCCTCCACCTACATATAGCACAGGTTCAAAGTCGTAACACAAGATGTCGCATTTACATGTGACCTTTTGTTCATGCTTCCTTCATTGAAAGAAGAATGCACAGTGTGTTGATTTGGACTAAGCTTTGAGGGGCAGGTAGATGATCCAGCATGGGGACTCCTGTTTTTAGGAAGGATGAGAGGGAGGGAAGTGAAGCTGGAAGCTTCTTTTCCCAGAGAAACTGGCTCTTCACTTTCAAAAGGCTGTTTCTCCTGGCCTGAGGAACTGCACCAATTTAACATTACATGAGACTGTCTAAAGGTGATGGTTTAATTTGTATTATTGCAGGATTAATTTTTTTAAAATAAAAACTTAAACTACCATAATAGATTTTTGATTATGAAACTCTATATTGTTAATATGGAAGTCCCATGTTTAATATTGACAAAGTCATTTGCTTTCATTATCCTAGTATAAAACGGAAACCTTATATGTTGTCCTTGGTTTCATGGCTTTGCCTCCTTTGCTACAACAAATATGAGCTGTAATGCTTTAGCAAATAACCATTATTGTTTATACACTGTAATTCAGTGGGATGTAGTAAATGGCACATCTTAAGGAGTCTATTTCTTTGCATATAAAATACCTTTAAAGCTTACTGAAGGTGAAGAGTGGCTACTACTTAGCTCTCAATTGTTGGCTACATTACTGAAACAATGAAGATATATCACCCACTATAATAGCAATATAGCAGCCATTTAACATAGTCGAGCATTAACTCTGTCATTTAGGCTGCCGAAGCAATCTTATTATTATAGTCAACGTAGCTGGTTTTGTTTCTCCATATGTGTAGATGTTCTGGTGTATAAAATGCATTGCTGTTTGTTGCAATAAATTGCATGCACTCAGAGGCTACTCTTACTATTTGAATGAAGTTATAGCTGGACACTTCAGTAGAACAAGCAAGGTTGAAGTAAATAATGACTAGTTTTGAAAGCTTTTCTTCTGTGATAGTTCCAACAATGAAATGGCTCTGGGCCCTCCTACAAGATTTTGTTCTAAGAAAAAAAAAAGTGTGCTTTTCTATATAAGCTGTGAAAAACGCTTCTTGAAACATAACTTTGCAGTACTTATTATTGAAGATGTACATGCTACCCATTTCAAAGATAGGACCCTTCATGTGAAAGCTGGTGATGGCTAGTTCTTCACCTGGGATGTCTCGGTGACCCCTTTAATGTTGTGTTTGCAATTTATATTTGTGTGTCTGGCTAGGTAAGTTGAGAATGTCATATTGTGCTCTGTCTTTTTTGTCTTCAGCCTTCTGCGTATATGTGTGTATATATATATATGTACAACACCCTCAGTATATTGAACTCTGATGCAGGTATCGCTAGTGCTTTAACTAAATAATCAGGTGCAATTCGATCTAGGGTTTATAAATTATTATAAGGAAATGGTAGTTATTAAGGGAAGCCACCAAAAAAGCTTTAGAACTTTTAAAAAGTGCAACGTATCTAAATTTTTTAAAAAATGCTTTATTGAGACACTGTTCATAATCTGCAAGATAATACATAAGCAAGCATGATACTGACACTCTGTAGAGTGGATTGACACCTGGTAAACGACAGTAAGAGCTAGATCTCACTATTACTTGTGAAGACCCTTAACGTGTAAAAGTTCCCTGAGTTATTTAAGTTAAACAAATTAGAGAGAAGAAAAGGACCTAACGCCATAAAATGAAGCTCGAATGGAGCTCAGCCCCTCCCAGGTCCTTTTTTGCCCCTTGTCTCGACACCATCACCACCAGACTGCAGCAGGGCCCATAAAGTGGGAGCTGTGGGGAGGAGTGGACCCTTTGCTC